AGGGGGGTTGGGGCCCGCTCGCGCGTGTGTGTGTGTGTGTGTGTGTGTGTGTGTGTGTGTGTGTGTTGGGGGGGGGCTTACCATATGGATGGAGGTGTCCACCCCCAGGGGAGAGGCTGCATTTCTAGAAAGTTCCCAGGTGAACTGGTCTATGGACCACACTTCAGAAAATACTGCTATGTAGTTTCCAAAGTTCAGACCTTCCAACGGCTGAGATGTATTCAAGATGCAGGTGTTATTCCCATTTCCCAGATGAGGATATGGAGTTTCAAAGAGGCCCACCCGCTGGTGGGGGCAAAGGAGGCAGAGCTGAGCTGCTGCCCCCTCCAGCCCAGTGCATCTGTACCTCTCTGCTCTGAGCAAAGCCCCACACCCCACGTGTTGGTAAATGCGCTTTCTCTGCAGAGCCAACAGCCCCAGGGAAAGACTGTGTCTCCATTACTCCAAAAATAGGGTGAATGTTGTAGGTATGTACAAGACTGCTTAATGCAGCGTGTGGCGTGACATCCATCACCACCCCAGGCCTATCCCAGTGCCAGACTCTGAACTCGGGGTGGAGGCACACACACACAAACACACACACACACACACACACACACGGTTCCTACTCTCAGAGCAAACTCTTGAGAACTCCGGCCCTGATGGAAACGCTCTCTCCCATTCTCGGGGTGGAGGCACACACACACAAACACACACACACACACACACACACACGGTTCCTACTCTCGAAGAGCAAACTCTTGAGAACTCCGGCCCTGATGGAAACGTTCCCTCCCATTAGCCATTCCAGCAGCCCCATGGGCTACCGAGCACTTGCTATAGAGCGAGTGGGGCTTCAGGACTGAATTTTCATTTATTTCATTGTAATCCTGGCTACCATATTAGATGGCACAGTCTTAAAGAGGGGAAATGGGAGACAAAAACAGAAGCAAGGACCACGCGTTCTAGGCAGAGGTTTAAAATAGGACGACGGGGCCGAGAGTGAGTGGAGGGATCTCAGGCGTTCAGGCCTCACTCTGCTTCTCAGGGTCGGAGGAAGCTCAGTGTTAGGCTGAGTTTGGTGACGAGGAAGAGGCAGTCATACCAAAGCCTGAGTGAGTCCCGAGCGACAGCACATGCAAAGGCTCTCAGTGGAGCAGACTAAGCCAGAGCAGCTCAGGGACAGGAGGCAGGGTCAGAAGAGTGGGTGGGTCAGGGTATGACCGTGACTTCTCAGTCTGCCTGCAGTGACCAGCTCCTGGAGGGTCTAAGCAGAGGAGTGATGCGGCTCAATTTTAGTGGAGTAGTGCTCTTGCTGCAGTTATGGGGGGGCAGGAAGGGAGTAGCCAGGAGATAAGGAGAGGCTCCCACAGCCACCAAGGCCAAGATGTTGGCCTCAGACAGTGGTGCAGCAGCTGAGGAGAAGCCAACACAGTCGAAGCAGGTTCTGAAGCGGAACCACAGCCCTGCTGACCGACTACAGGGGATGAGAGAGAAGGCGGGAGCCAATGACAGCCCCAAAGGCCTTCTGCCTCGGCGGCGGGTGCACGACGTGCACTGACACGGAGGAGGAGCAGGTGTGGGGTTGAGGCCTGGACTCCCCACTTGCTGCACACCTCGGGATGAGTTTTAGACATCCTCGTGGAGAATCAAGCCGTGGGGTTCAGGAGGCAAACTGAAAAAGTCACCACAGTGTGGATTCCAGGTGGAAGCACCCACCCAGTAGGGAAAAGGCCCTTTATGACTGAGTGACTTGACGACAGGAACTGGGACTGTTTCTCACACCTGTACCCAGAAGCTACCACAGGGGCCTCCGGGCGGCCATGGGCCCTCTCAGCCCACGTGGACGAGGGCTGTGGGCTGGGAGCTCCCTTTCCTCACCACCTGTCTTCCATTCTTGGCACTGGTCAAGGTCTGTTACCAGTTTATTTTGCTCTTTATTCACTGTAGACCCTTCCAAGTGTGGTTTACCTTTGTGCTCAGAGGAGATGCCCCAGCTCCCGGCCAAGCATTCTGGCTCGCGGGACACACTCAAAACATGCCTCGACCGTCAATGAGTCAGATGGCGGGATGGGCGGGAGGATAAGTGAAAACAGGGAATGAAAGAGGACACGGAGATTGATGTCCCTTGCCAGATCTGTGACTGTGGACAAGTCACTCTCTTCCTCTCATCAATCGATCAGAATGCTCACTGGAAACATCCTCGATGTCATGATCACTGGGAACATATTCCTCTGGATCCATGGGGGATTGGCTCCGGGATCTCCAGCAGATAAATACCAGGATTCAGGAACCCCACTGAATTGATAATCTTATTTCACTGTAGTAATGGATACCATATTGGATGGTGCAGTATTAGAGAGGGAAAACAGAAGACAAAGACAGAAACAAGGGTTTTGCATTCTAGGGAGAGGATTAAAATGGATTGACGGGCAGAGAGTGGATGGGAGGAATCCCAGGTGTTCAGGCCTCGCTCTGCTATAAAATGGTGTGGCACCTGCATATAACCTACACCCGTCTTCCTGTGCACTTTAAACCTCTCTCGACTGCGTACACTACCTAGCACGACGCCTGCACATCCCTGCCTTCTCGGGATTTAATGTAGTACTCTGTGGCCTATAATTTCAAGTTTTGCTTTCTGGAACTTTCTGGATTTTTTTTTTCCCCTGAATATTTTTGGTCTGCATTTGGTTGATTCCACAGTTGTGGAAGCCACAGACAGAACGAGCCGACGTACATATATACAATATAGTACACACTGAGCTCATTCTCGGCCCACCGCACACAGCCAGTAAGCAGAGGCTGTTAGGACAATGTTTACTTAGGAAGAGGTCTTAGGCGCTACCATCTAAAGATCAGCTCCACCAGAGTCATAAACCCACAAAAATAATAATGCCAAGCGAGGGAACAGGGGTGGGTTTTTTCATCTCACATGGCTCACCTCCTTTTCCCAGGCCCCGGGGCCTGGAGACCTGCAAGAGACGGTTTCCTAATGTCTCCGCAACCTCTCAGCCCCACTGGATGGCCGAAACCCGATGAACGAAAGGAGGCCAGTCAGAAACCCAAAGGGATGCGGAATTGAGAAATGCCTCCATCTGCAGACCTCATTCTGGGGCACTTCCTCCTCCCCCTACGCCTCAAGGAAAAGAGCAAGACACTTCACAAACAAGTCCGAAAGAAAAAAATTCTAATGGTGGATAAATATTTTATCACAGAGACTCAATGCAGCAGTGTTCGACTCACCCTCGCCATCTATCTGGAGATATACAACTTTAAAAAGCTCCGGCTCTTGGAGAACATTTTATTAATGACCTGTCTAGTTAAAAGGAGGAGGGAGTTTAGGTTAAAACATGCATTAATACCAGTCGGGTACTTGAGTGTAAGAAAGGGGTCGGGGGAAGGAAGCGTGATAAATTTTTAACATGCCCTAAAAAAAAATCCACACTTAGAAAAGGAACAAATTTATTACTAATTATGCAATTATTTCATTTGGTGGTGTGGGGGAAGAAAAAAAATACTTAAAAGCCTTTTAAAAATCTCTGATATCGGATTTAAGAATTCTGCTTTGTTGTTCCACTGTGTGGGCACGGCATGGGGCAGATCTGAGGCTGCCCTCCACAATCCATTCCCCACCAGCTCAGCTTGGAACTTGGGGAGCCCTCTCAGGTCTGAGGGTTCCCAGGTGGACCTGGCTTGGGAAAGACCTGGGCTTCCCAGTCTTGCTGAGTAGGAAAGGTCAGGTCAAGGGGAAGGAGGGGGTCTTCAGGAGACCCCATCCCCAGGACCTTCTGCCTACCCCAGACCTGTCCCAGGCTCAGCTCCAGCAAGGCCTGCCAAGTGGGAGGACCACCCCTGTCTGCTCTAATGAAGCTGGCATGGCAGGAGGGCACTAACCAGTAGGTCATGGGTTGGGCAACAAGTCCTGTAGGAGAGGTGGGGCCCACAAGAGCCGCAGGGCAAGTGGGCGGGGCTGCGTGGAGAGGATGAAGACAGTGATGGTAAATGCACCACTGCACGGACTGTGGGCACTGTCCTCGCACCTGCTCAGGTAACACCCATACCTGCCCTGCAAGGTGGAGACGGGGGACTGAAGGGGCTCGGCATAGAGGCCTGGGCAGAGCTTAGAGGGAGGTGGAGCCAGGATTCTAGCAGGAGCACCGGTCTACCCGACTTGGCATGAACAGGCTCTGACTCAACTCGGCCCCTCATTGTAGAGACAGGGAAACTGAGGCCCAGGAAGGGCGAGTGACTACCCAAGGTAGTGCAGTAGGTGTGAAAGAGCTGTGGCTGCAGCCTGCAGGTCTGCTCCTGCCAGGGGCCTCCTCCTCAGCGCGACGGCCTCAGTTTACCTCACTCCAGGATAACTATAATGATGGATGCCCTTGCCTCTTGAAGCAACTGCAAAGAGCAAGTAAGTTCAAGGGATGCAAAAATGCACGTGAAACCCACAATAAAGCGCAGGTGGGAGACGCCGTTCATCTATCGCCGGAACCAGTCCACGAGTCTGCCTCCCGCCACCTGAGAAACTTTCCTCTCACTTTCCTCCACCCCTCAGGAGGAGATTCCAGGGATTTGAAAGGACCCGTAAGATTATCTACGTACTGTTGTTGTTGCACTAACTTGAAATAATTCAGCTATCAGCACAAATATGGAAATAGTATGATATGGAAATTTTTATTATAGTTGAAACGGACTGAACTAATGAATAAGTACTATGAAAATGATTAAATAAAACTGGAAAAAAAGAATAAAAACCAAGAAGGGATGAACGAAAAGACCCATAACACAGCCCCAACAGCCTCTACCCCCAGGAGGGAGCTGGAGAGACTTTCGCTGTCAGGAGCACCTGCCTACCCCAGACACCGCCCCAGCCCGGGGCGTTTCCCCTCGACAGCCCTTAAGCCAGGAAGCACATCCCATGTCACAGAGACAGGAAGCGCCACGAGCCAGGACTCAGGTGAACTCAGAAGCCATCCTCTTCCCCACGGCATACAGAGGGATTCTGAAGTGTTCCAAGCTGACCGGGCTCGGGGTCCTGCCGGACCGAGGACAGGGCACCTCACCCTGCTGAGCAAAGTAATCCCAGTCTGCCTGTAACACGGGACGATCCCCACCTCATGGGGTGACAGGGAGATGAGAGCCCACACAGGAAGCCCTTGGACCCGCTTACCACAGCACTTAGTACCTACTGTCACCTCTGTTTCTGGTCTCATGGTTGACAGCCACCCCCACACTACCAGTTCCGACTAGAGCGGAGCGTAGACTAGCCAGGAGGAAGCAGGAGCAGGCTAATTTCCGGGTCTCCTAGCTGGAGGGAAGGGCCAGAAATCTGGGTTGGACAGGAGCCCTAAAACCCCAGGGTGCTGGCTGCTGCACCTGCCCTTGGCCAGCCTCACACAGGAAGACCCGTCTCAGACTCTGCACACGGCCAGCTCTGGCCTCCACTACTGCCCACCGGTGGGGTCTGCAGGAAGACTCACTCTGGGCTCCGGCCGTAGGGCTCCTGGGCTCTCCCAGCTG